TAATGCAGTTTACGTTATTGCTGGTGCAAGCTTCAGAAAGACTGTATTTGTACTCCGATAATGCGAGAATATTGCTAACTTCTGTTTCATGTAGCTGGGAAAGTTGTACCTGGAAAGAGAAGAGTTTGGAAAGCTCCAGAAAATTCTCAGGCAGTTGCATCAGTCATGTCAGGTAGAGTAAATAATCAGTGTTGTATAAATAAGAAAACCTGCTTCGGATGTCTTCTGTGTTGCTTTGAAACGGATTGATGCTCTTAATTAGACGGATGACGGAGAGGACGACTTGAAGAAGGGCACTCAGCTGCTGGAGATCTATGCTTTGGAGATTCAGATGTATACGGCACAGAAAAACAACAAGAAACTCAAAGCCCTGTATGAGCAGTCATTACACATTAAATCCGCCATCCCACATCCACTCATCATGGGAGTCATCAGAGGTAATGGACACATTTTAGTCTAAAACGAAGACATGGAAATTAGTTTTTAGTTTTGTTTGATTTGTTTTTACTATTGTTTTTGTGCTTAGTTTAGGGCTGATTTGGTTTTTGTTTTGTGTTCAATTGGAAAGCTAGATTGTTTTTCTTTTTTGTACCTTTGGATGTTTGAAGACATGAAACTTAGTGTTTAATTTTCGTTTGGGTTGTTTTGGTTTGGTGTACCATTGCAAATTTTGTGAAGGCACGGAAATAAGTATTTAGCTTGGGTTTTGGTTTGTTTTTTTCTTTTGTGTGTAATTGGAAAGTTTGGTTTTTGTTCTGTTTACAGTTATGAATTTTGCTTGTAGTTGCGAAGATGAAGACATGGAAATTAGTGTTTAGTTTTGGTTTGGGCTGATTTAGTATTTGTTTTTCATTTGGGTTTTGTTTGTGTATAATTGGTGTTGTAATAAGTTTTGATGTTGTTTTTGTTTTAGTTTGTTTTTGGTTTGTGTACAAATGGAAAGTTAGTAGTTGCGAAGATGAAGAAATTAGTAAAAAAAACATTTGTGTGTGTTTGAAAATTTTGTTTGTATTGGCTTAGTTTTTGGTTTGGTTTTTTATTTTGTGTACAATTGCAAAGTTTGCGTTTAGTTGTGAAGATGTGGAAATCAGTGTTAAGTTTGGGTTGATTTGGTTTTTGGTTGGGTTTTTGTTTGTGTACAATTGGAAAGTTTGGTTTGGCTTTGGTTTGTTTTATGTTCAACTAGAAAGTCCACTAATTTAGTTTGACATGTGACTGTTTCTCTTTAGAATGTGGCGGTAAAATGCACCTGAGGGAGGGAGAGTTCGAGAAGGCACATACAGACTTTTTCGAGGCTTTCAAAAACTATGATGAGTCTGGAAGCCCCAGGCGAACCACTTGCCTGAAGTACCTGGTTTTGGCCAACATGCTGATGAAGTCTGGAATCAATCCATTTGATTCTCAAGAGGTATACGGTGGCAATCATGCACAGGCCCATATGGGATCTTAGACCGTCCCATCATTTATTTACAAAGTTCTACACGTTCTTCATTGTTGCATGTTCATATGGGAAATATTTAGCTAAATTTAAGTTTGCTTATATTGACCAATAGGCATGTTGTACTCTTAGTTTCGCTTAACGTAGGGATGTAACGATTCACTCAACTCACGATTCGATTCGAATCACGATTTTGATTTCACAATTCTAAAGACAGTAAGTTCCCCTCAGACATGGATTCATATAAACTCCTACCTCTAAATGAATCGCGATTTGTTTAGCATCGCAACCGATTTGAATCGTCACATATTTGAATCGATTTTCAACCGGCTCGCGGTAAATCGTTACATCCCTACTTAACGTACATAATTTAAACTTAAATAGCAACTTATTTTACCCCAGAATCAGAGCAGGGAAAAGCACAAAACTGCAGATCTCATCTGGGCCTGATCATAGACGATAAATGCTGTGGTATATAATATAACTACTGATTCTTTCTTTATGACTCTGTGACTAGGCGAAACCTTACAAAAATGATCCAGAAATTCTAGCAATGACAAACCTGGTAAGGTAAGTGTGCACAATACTTTTCATTTCTCCGTTTATCTGATCCTCTTTGTTTTTTTTAATTGTTTTTTTTTATGGTATTAATTACCTGTAACTTGCTTCTAGTGCCTACCAGAACAATGACATCACAGAATTTGAGAAAATCCTGAAGACGAATCACAGCAACATAATGGACGACCCCTTCATCAGAGAACATATTGAGGGTCAGTTTGGTTGGCTTTGGCTTTTTCACGCACACATTCACATTTATTTCATAAATCTCATACAACAAATGTGCAGTCAAAAAGTACATATTCATTTTTCTCCTTTGCTTTTGCTTTCAGAATTGTTACGGAACATAAGAACACAAGTGCTCATCAAATTGATTAAGCCTTACACTAGGATACACATACCATTTATTTCAAAGGTAAACCTAATATTATATTATATTATATTATAATATGCAATTTTAATATAATGTTCCCTGTTTTTCTTTAGGAATTGAATATTGATGTTGCAGACGTGGAGAGCTTGCTTGTGCAGTGTATTTTAGACAAGTAAGTTTAATACTTTTTTAATATAGATTTTTCCATTTTAAAAATATGTTTAAAAAAAATTGTGGTTTATCTGATGTATGTCTTTCTTTTAGCACAATCAACGGTAGAATTGATCAAGTCAATCAGCTGTTGGAGCTCGATCACCAGAAAAGAGGCGGAGCCCGATACACCGCCCTGGACAAATGGACCAATCAGCTGAACTCTCTCAACCAGGCCATTGTAAGCAAACTGGCTTGATTTGACACTGACGATCCTGCAAAACAAATTGACCCATCGGACAGCCGGTCGACTGGAGGCTGTCAGTGACATTAACTACTTTCAAGCCCTTTACTCCCCCGTTCACAGAAGGGGGAGCATCATTTGGCTAGTTTGTATTTTTACAGCTGTAGTCACTTAAGTCAGTTTTAAATGTCCTTAACAGAGCAGAAGTTCCCACAGGATGTCTGCTGTACGGAATTGTTATAGGTCTCTAATATGAACATGTTTGCATCATCTAAAAAAATGTTTCTTTAATAGCACATGTTGACACTTGGCAGACATTTAAAAGGCATATGTTTGTCTTTAATGGAACGCGTGAGGACATGCTGTGTGAAATTGAATCATTTATTTGTTGAACTGTCTCTTGTCAGAGTCAGCATGTTTTACTTGGTTTGCACAGAACTCAGGTGATGAGTTTAATGCAGTTGCACCGCAGCACATGCGTATTAAAAGTGCAGCCATTACTAGAATTCCTCACCAAATATTACAGATCTGTTGAAAGCGTTATGCTGTCTGAGCTGTTCTGTTTCACTTTCAACTACAAAAATAAACTTGCTTCAGCGGGTAATGTGTCTGTAATGGTGTATGATTTTTTTTTTTTTTCTGGTTTGGTAACAATTTTTTTTAGTAGTTTTTAAATCGGTACATAAGACGAAACATACTTAAACGATACCATAAATACAAAACACAGAACACAAAGTAAGATGTGCATGTAGTTTTGTGAAGTGTGTGTAACAATTGTGTTGATTGTGTATATATGCGCTTCCTAATAAATATGTAGGACAGCCTATTTGTAGAGGGTCATAGGAGAATGTTAAAAATAAAGGGAGAAAGAAATAATTAAATAGGTACATAAACTACAAAAAAAAAAAATTGGAATAAAATTAGAAATAGTAGAAATTAGATAAGAAATACACTTTAAAAAAACAGGTGGGGTGGGGGCACCTCAGAATGGTGTATGAGTGGTGAATGTTTTTGTGTGTGATACACACACACACACACACACATATATATATATATATATATAGCTACCATAAATTGTCTAATATTTAAATAGCAAAAGTTTAAAAACATTTGATTCAGAAGAAAATGTGTCTGTAAAGGTGTATGATTTTATGTGTGATAATTAATTTATGTGTTTCAGTGCTCAAGAACACAAAATTGTACAGCTTTCGTATACATACATTATTTATCCGAATTAAGCTAATAACTGAAAGTGCATACAATACAGGACAATAATGAACAATAATAATTTTCCATGTATACACTATACGGCTAAATGTCCTAACCGAACAACCAAACCCGTTAATAGTCATATCAATAATATATATGCCTAGTGTAAACGTATTTATGATAAAAACATAATTTTAATTGTAAACCATACGTAATTAATAATTTAATTAATTTAATAATTACGTATATAATACGTAGGCTATATAAATCGTTCATTTATTTGTATGAACAAAATAAATAAATAGCAATGTTATTATTAATCATTTTATTATTATTGATACAGTTCAATGACTGAGAAAATACATTTCTGTCAAAATCTTTTTAGTTGACACATGATAGGCCGTAACCATTGGCTATAACGTTCACATGACGTCGTCCCTCCCGTCAGCCAATCAGAAGCCAGGACTTTTGCCGCTGTTTAGGGCGCCATGTTTCAATAGACAACAAAACACTTTTATCAATATCTTTGCTGCAATATCGACTTTAGTCCGCATTAAACGAGTTTTTACATCTGTGACGGACGAACAAACATTTGCTGACAGTTTATTACTCGTACTCAAGGCATGTTTTTATCAGTATTGTTGCGGTATGAGTTTGTATGGTACCGAGGCACTGTAATGTGTCTCATAGAAACACCTCATTTGGGATTGTTGTGTTACTTTAGGACTGTGGCGACTTTATAAAAGCTTTAAAGGTAAGCAGAGATCATTTAAACTCACATACAGCCTTGTTTGTTAACTGAAGCTTGTAAACTAGTGCTAAATGAACGAGTTACTGATGTGAATAATGTGTTATGGGTTGCTTAGAAACAACATGTATCTATATCTTGGTTTAACAGTGTTTGCTGATACTGATACGAACTAGCAAATGTGTTGTTCTCGGTTTTATCAGTAAGACTGGTTAAATGAAGTGTAAGTGGATGTGATTGCTGGTCATTTCCTGTCTCAGTGTGTCATTTCTCCTCTCAGATCAGCAGGATGTCCATTGATTTTGACAGTGCAGCTCTACAGACCCAGCAGGAGGAAGAGGAGTATGATCAGGAAGACTACGCCAGAGAGCAAGAGGTATCTGTCCAGTTAATGAGCACTGATACACAAACACACCCACCAGCAGACTGACATCTGTCATCTGCTGCATGCCATACCGGACTAAATGACTAAATGTAATATTTACATTTAGACATTTAGCAGACACTTTTATCCAAAGCGACTTACAAATGAGGACAATGGAAGCAATCAAAATCAGCAAAAGAGCAATGATATGCAAGTGCTATAACAAGTCTCAGTTAGCTTAACGCAGTACACGTAGCAAGGTTTTTTAAAAATTATATAATGAATAAAAAGAAAGCCGATAGAATAGAAAAAGAATAGAGCAAGCTAGTGTTAGAGGCCTTTTTTGCTTTTGTTAATTGTATAATAAATAAAAAGAAAACAAATCAATAGAAAAAGATTAGAAAAGCTAGTTTTAGTTTCTGTTAGTTAGTTTTTAAAGAAAACCAGCAGTAAATGAATAGAGTGCAAGTCTAAAAGGGACAAGTTTTTTAATAATAAAAAAATAATATAAATGTACTTGGACAAAAACAAACAAACAATCGGTTTATCTGTCTGTAGTTCACATGTACAGTAGTTATTTATTTATTTCAGCGCATGACTGTTTAATAGAATAGGAAAAAGGCTAAATATAATTAAAATTGGAGACAACCTAAAAAAAAAAAACTAAACATTGTACACCTTCCAATACACATATTTATTAATTTTAACCTTGCCCTCTTGTTGTTGGGAAAAAAAGATACCATCCATGTTATTTCTAAACTAGACCTTTCTTATTAAAACAATGAGTGGTTGGGATTTTTAAAATTCTGTATAATACAATTTAAAACTAAAATAATATTTAATTGTATAATATTTCTATACACACACACAAAGTGAAACAATATTAAAACAATATATATTTAGCATGGATGCATTACATTTATGTGACAGTAAAGACATTTAAAATGATGCAAACATTTTCAGTCCCATATAAATCCTGTAAAAGAAAAATGACCACGGAAAGAAAAATGCACCACGGTTTTCACAAAAATATTAAGCAGCAACTGTTTTCAACATTGATAATAAAAATATAATGTATAATAATATATTTTATTTTATTTGTCAAACAATTTTTATTTTTGTATTAGGTGGTATTTAACATTTTAAGGGTAGAGACAGTCTCACGCTAGACAGAGATTGGACAAACATTTATATTCGCCCCTGAACAGAATATGATGTCATCAGTACACCATGAAATCAAAACTGACAATTAATTTTTGTTTATGAAATGGTGCAGTATTTATTATACATGATTTATCCATACATAACATTAAATAAAAAAACAAAAACAAGCCCTTGTAATCTTTAATAAAAATATATATAAGTAAATAAATAAATAACGTCCCCTTATCTTTTCAACAATATCTCTTCTCTTATGACGTTTGTGAGGGTGAGACAATAACCTCTCTCTCCCAGCAACCTGTCACGCACATGAAATGATTGCAGCAATTAGCAATTTATAATGGTCCAGTTTAATCCCCAATGTAAAATAAACAAGTCCCTTCATTCTTTATATACAGTGGGTACGGAAAGTATTCAGACCCCCTTAAATTTTTCACTCTTTGTTATATTGCAGCCATTTGCTAAAATCATTTAAGTTAATTTTTTTTCCTCATTAATGTACACACAGCACCCCATATTGACAGAAAAACACAGAATTGTTGACATCTTTGCAGATTTATTAAAAAAGAAAAACTGAAAAATGCTCAGTATTTAGTAGAAGCACCCATTTGATCTAATACAGCCATGAGTCTTTGGGAAAGATGCAACAAGTTTTTCACACATGGATTTGGGGATCCTCTGCCATTCCTCCTTGCAGATCCTCTCCAGTTCTGTCAGGTTGGACGGTAAACGTTGGTGGACAGCCATTTTTAGGTCTCTCCAGAGATGCTCAATTGGGTTTAAGTCAGGGCTCTGGCCGGGCCATTCAAGAACAGTCACAGAGTTGTTGTGAAGCCACTCCTTCATTATTTTAGCTGTGTGCTTAGGGTCATTGTCTTGTTGGGCAACTCTGGAGGTCAGCCAAAGTGGTCTTTGGGTGGTTCTTTACCTCTCTCACCAAGGCTCTTCTCCCCCGATAGCTCAGTTTGGCCGGATGGCCAGCTCTAGGAAGGGTTCTGGTCGTCCCAAACGTCTTCCATTTAAGGGTTATGGAGGCCACTGTGCTCTTAGGAACCTTAAGTGCAGCAGAAATTTTTTTGTAACCTTGGCCAGATCTGTGCCTTGCCACAATTCTGTCTCTGAGCTCTTCAGGCAGTTCCTTTGAGCTCATGATTCTCATTTGCTCTGACATGCACTGTGAGCTGTAAGGTCTTATATAGACAGGTGTGTGGCTTTCCTAATCAAGTCCAATCAGTATAATCAAACATAGCTGGACTCAAATGAAGGTGTAGATCCATCTCAAGGATGATCAGAAGAAATGGTCAGCACCTGAGTTAAATATATGAGTGTCACAGCAAAGGGGGTGAATACTTAGGACCATGTGATATTTCTGTTTTTCTTTTTTAATAAATCTGCAAAGATGTCAACAATTCTGTGTTTTTCTGTCAATATGGGGTGCTGTGTGTACATTAATGAGGAAAAAAAATTAACTTAAATGATTTTAGCAAATGGCTGCAATATAACAAAGAGTGAAAAATTTAAGGGGGTCTGAATACTTTCCGTACCCACTGTATATATATATATTTTTTTTTTTATCTCATTCAAGAAGATGCTTTACTTTGATGTACATTACAATTGGGAGAAAAAAGCAGTTGCAGTTTCCCTTACATGTTGAATTTAAATCCAGTTTCCGGAAAGCAAACACATTTATTATTTAATATATTACTCTTTTTAATGATTTTTTTTTTAATAAACAAATGTTATGTTTACACAACACTTTCATTACATACACTTGCATATCTTAAATAAAATAAAAAATTTAAGGTATAATTAATTACACTTCAAGAATGACACTATATTGTATTACTTTGTCTGCTGGATACATTAACACACATTCAAGTTATTTTAAGTAAATAGTTTTTGTGTCTGTCTTGTTAAAGCAGGTACATACAGTTTCATCCGGTTCATGTTTTAAATGTGTATATCTGGTACTAAACATTTCAGTATTTCTGTGTGGCTTTAATATTGGGACTTGTAAGGCTAATAATGTTCCTCTGTCAGTGCTGTTCTCTAATATGGCTTGCAGTTAATGCTTAACATGCCAGTATAACCATTAAAAACTGCTGTATGAAACGAGATTGATTGAATCTTTTTCTTGTGATTTTATTGTTGCATGAGCTAGCTGCCTTACTCAATTTACTAGGTCCATATTTGCTTTCTCATGGTTATTATTAGTAGTTAAAGATTCTTCTGTTTCCAGTCACAAGCAGTAACAGTGTTTGTTTTTAAAGGGCAGATCTTCTCCAATCAGAAACGTGTGTTCTGACTCACCTTACAGCTGTCAATCGGCTGCATGAATGAGCGTTTGCTGTCATTGGTGCACGTTTAATGCAGTCAGGTGTGTTTGCTGTGTCATTTAACCTGTGTTTCCACTGCCCTACACACTCACAGCTCTTTACTGAAGCTGCACAAACGTTTGCTCTGTAGGCAATTTCACTTCTCATTTTAGATTAGAATCAGAAAGTAATAGTATGAGGTGAATGATGACCATCGATTTTGATGTGCATCACATGCACCGTCATATTCGCAGGCTGTTTGTCTTTTTTACCATCAGAGGAGGAATGTTTCTGCTCCAGTTAACTGAAACGTATATTCTGACCCCCACAATGGGCCGACCTCAGCCTGGACAAATGAGGACGGCTTAGTTCCTCGTTTTCTGCTTTCTTTTCTGGAGTTATTCATATGAGTCACGCTGCTGAACTCAAGCATTGCACACAAAAGTGCTTCAGTATGTCATTGAGTCCAAGAGCTCCTGCAGCAGCTGTCGTGAGAGTGTAAATGCGGGAAAGTGTTCTGTCTGAGGGAACGTATCAGGATGTGCGGGTCATCCGGCGGGAGTTATGGAGGGTGAGTGAGTTTGACTGTCTGTCCTCCGATACGGAGACATCAGCTGTGTTTTATCATGAAGTTGCTGATAGTTAGGAGAGCTCGGGCTCCTTTAAGACGCCTCAGGGCCATGTGTTGGTGTTTGTGTGAGAGTTCAGCATGTCTGTAACCGGGCGGGTGTGTTTTTGTAAATGGTTGCTATGGGACCTGCAGTGAATCGGTTGCTTGCATGTGCTTGTTTCGTTTCTCATAGTTTCAGTGTGTTTCCCATTAACTCAGTATTGTATTATTGTATTGAGAAACTTCTAAGAAAAATTACATTCCCCAAGAGATGGCCAGTCAGACACTTACTTACTGCTTACTTATTGGAGAGCTCGTGTATTAGTGTTTGACTGATTTTTTTTTTGTATAAGATGCACAATATATCAAAACATATGGATATTGTCCAATATTAGTGATTTCCTTTTTTATGTCTTTTTTTTTTTTGTCTGTATCAGCAGTTTAATATCAATATTAAAGGGGTCATATGATGCTTTTTTAAAAGATCATTATTTTGTGTATTTGGTGTAACAGAATATGTTGACATGCTTTAATGTTCAAAAAACACATTATTGTTAGAACGAGCCGTTTTAGGGGGGCGTGGCAGAATCTTAACTTTGATAAAGAATATCTCTTTGGTTTTGAGACTTTAGTCTTTGCAACTTCAGGGATCTTATCTATGCACAATCAGCTTGTAACACTCCAAAGAGAAAGCAAAACTTGAAATCTATGACCCCTTTAATTGTGGATTTTAGATTAACTTTGCTATCTTTAATGAATCACACTAGATAATGTGAAAGATTTAAACTTTATAGAGCACGTTCTACAGTAGAGATCCCTCCTCCATTATAAGGACATTTTTATCATCTTAAAATGAGTTATAAATTTTTCATACCACACACCGTGATGATGCTAAAGTGAATTTAGGCAGCACAACCTAAGAGTGATCATACCTTTTTTTTATTTTTTTTAGACAAAGTAGTGTAGGTTTTAATTGGCCATAGCATAAAAATAATTAACTGTGTTGGTCAGAGTTGATATCAAGAGTAAAATGTGTATGTATACCATTCACTCTAACACTAATATGAAAACTCTATAAAACATGTTTGCTGCATTTTTGTATGCACACTACTATTAGAATTATCTGCATTTAATCAAAATAAGTGTTTTTAGCACTTTCTAAAACATGAAAAAAAAATTGCACATAGTTTCTCGACCATGTTATGAAAGAAATAGAAAGTTTTTGTTTATATAATATTTATTACCTGTTTTATAAGTTATTTGTTTCTAGTTATATTAATTTGTTTGCTGGGTTTTTTAATGATTTATTTATAGAAAATCACTGGTTAAAATAAAAAGAGCAATAGCTTGCAGAGTGCAATGCCTGATGTCCCAAAAATTAATTAATTTATTTAGTGAAATAAAATTATACTTTGCTTTGAAAACTGACTGAAGGTTGTTGTTTTTTTATTATATATACTGTATTTGGCTACCAATTAATTGTCACCACAAACATCTCTTGGTCTCTCTGAATAGAGATTGCATTTACATTTGTTAATTGATTTATGAGCAAATCCCACCTCTCATTCTTTTTGCTGAATGAACCAGTATCAAAGAAGCGTGCATTGACAGAGAAGATAATATTACAATAATATTGTCATAGAATTATTCAGATGTATTTGTTTTAAATAATAATATTTTGTTAAACACTGGAAGCAAATAATGGAAGGTTAGGTCTTCTGTGGTCCATTTGGTAATAGCAAATTTATTTTAAATCATCCAAAACCCAGGGATTCTCATATCAATAATATCATACTAATATCTCATGTTGGACCTCAGGTTTTCAGATCCAAGTGGATCTGTGATGAATACCTCTAATCTGTGCCTTAACAGTCTGGCAGGGAAGAAGACCGCTCATGGGTGAGGTGGCTACGGTCCTGAATGGTTGTTCACATTTTTTATTAAATAAAATGGGGTTTGTTTGTTTGTTTTTTAGCTCCACAAGCTCCTGACTGATCTCCCTGATGATATGCTGGATGACAGCGCCGACTGCTCCTCACCTGAGCTCAACTGCTCCACCTGCAGCCGCCCAGAAGACAACAACAGGTACAAAACACATCAAAACACCCTTATGCAACACTTACCTGAAATACCTATTTAATAAAACATACACAAATGTGTTTGTCTTTCAGACCGCAGCATGCCTGGAATGTGCCACAATGGGAGCATCCAAGACCTTCTTCCCATGAGGAAGTGAGTTTATCAGTTTTAGATGCAACAAAATCAACCTGAGGTTCATTGAAAGGATGCACTTATTCGTTTGTCTTGCATGTGTTTGCAGCACTATGAGGAGTACTACCAAGGCTCTTATCATGAGGACTACAGCTATAAGAGTCACATGTCTCAGACCAACAGTCACCCTCATCACCTCCAGACCGGGACAGAACATTTGGCCACCGGCTGGGACCAACAGAACGGACAGAACTACCAGTACCAGAATGGAGACTATGCACACTCATCTGCAGGCACGGATGAGTCCCACGGTACTGACTTCTCCCCTGGGGACGGGGCGGAACAGGACGTGCACCCTAATAATGCTCTTCAACGTGGGGCAGGCTACCATGGAGATGAGGCACAAGCCCATGGAGAGCATGACAACATCAGACACCACTTTCAGGTGAATGTCTGCAGCCAGTCTTCTTTGATTAAACATTGTATGCATGTTTATTAATTTTGCACATTTGTTGAAGGTGTTTGATAGTGGAGGAGCTGGGAACAAACCCACTGACCACTACAAGGCCAGTTACCATCCACATCAACCTTCAAATCAGCCCAAGATGTTCAATCCTCAAGTGACCAATCAGAATGGCCACTTTGACCAGATTCAGAGAGACTTCCTGGACTCAACACAGAGTAAGATACCATTATGCATTACCATGTTGCAGTTTAACATAAGTGTTTTCTATTTGAATATGTTTTAAATTGTAATTTATTCCTCTGATCAAAGCTGAATTTTCAGCATCATTACTCCAATCTTCAGTGTCACACAATCCTTCAGAAATCATTCTAATATGCTGATTTAATGCTCAAGAAACAGTTCCTATTATTATCAATGTTGAGAACAGCTTCTTCATATTTTTTGGAAACAATTATATATTTTTTCAAGATTCTTTGGTGAATAAAAAGTTGAAAAGAACAGCATTTATTTGAAGTTGTATTTGTAATGACTATGTTATTAGTATTTTAGGAGATTGAGGTGTGTTGTATGAATGTTATTCAGATCCAGCAGACGGTCAGCAGCTGGCGCAGCTTCAGATTTTAAACAGAGCTCAATCCAGACAGATCGAGGAGCTGGAACAGAAACTAGAGGACTGCAGGAGGAGGATGAGATATCTGGAGCACCAGTTTGCCATCGTCAAAGGTCAGATTCACTAGATTGCCACTGTTTTAAATTCAGCTCTGAAATGTTAGTTTCAAAAAAGTATCTCTGGAAAAACTTAAGCAGACTAGTGGCAGGACCCAAGACTTTCCCTTCATAGTTAATCATTCATAATTTTATTATTATTATTATTTGTTTATTTTTAAAAACTCATCAACATCTCTGTTGCTAGTTTATTAGCTGTATTGTTTGAGCCCCCATAATGCACAAAAAACTATTTTCTATTTTCATATTCTGGATCAGTTTTGACCCGGTGGGAACATAAGCTTATAAAACAATCATAACTTGTCATAACATGGTTATAACATTCATATTGTATCTGATGAATAAATTATTTTTAATAAGTGAAGTTGCAAAAATGAATTTATTAAAATGTTATTACCACTTTTTAAATAAAAATGAATTTCAAATTTTATTTATTTATATATCAGGGCTGTACAGTGCGACATATATGTCGCACGTGCTACGAAAAAACTGGTCTGTGCGATGAATAAATTTACCACTGTAGCACGCGTGCGATACAGTTTTGCATGTTCATAACACAGCCGCTTAATAGTGTGAAGTGATTTCGTTGTGCTTGTTCGTGTGTGTGAGATTGATTATACTTGGTAGTTAGAGGTGTGCGATATGACCATTTTTGAATGTCTCCACAATCTGCTTTTGAAGAAATATCGTTGTATCGTGCTACAGCGCACATTCTATCAGCTGCAGTTCTGGCGCCTCCCTCCGTCTCAATATAATGTACAACGCCACATGCATTCACATCAGTGTTAGCTCAGCGGTAGAGTTACTCTCACGGGACACTGCACTTATGCGCAATCACAAAACTACATTATTTCCATCTGCTTTAAAGCAATACCGGTTAAACATTGAATTCACGTGCTGTTCTGCATGCGCTTTTTCTGAGCGTGTACTCATGAAGTGCTCTCACACTGAGAGCCTGTCAAAAAGCACCTGATTATTGGACTAATTTGTCTTTCGCGTCTGATTGATTTCGTGTCTAATACTGTCAAAAAAACACAAGGTTTACATATAAACACATAATGTGTAAGAGGTGTTATGTTTCTGCACTCTTCCATTTTTATCAAATTAAGAAAAAAAACAATTTTTGTGATGGTTTGTATTTTTTGTGCTCTGTATGGTTCCATACAGTGCCTGTTTAAGTGATGAACTCCATTACTTGTGTTTGTTTCCAGACATGATAACAGACGTTTTATACTTGTGCTACAACTTTTTGGCCTGTGCTACAAAACTTTCAACCTCTGTAGCACCAGTGCTATGTGAAAAAAAAGTTAACGTACAGCCCTGTGTGTGT